AGACGACCAGCCATCTCCCAGACGAGTGCAGACTGCAGGGACCATAACACCGACAGTGTCCCGAACGGTCTCTGCAGAGCCGGCGGACATCATGGGATGATAGGCCCTGTCGTGCACCAGTGCAGAGAATGGCACGACCGTTAAGCCACCCCCGCCTCACACCCAGTGGCTGACTGTCAGGCTGACTGCCTCCTCACTCTCTCCTCCCTCTCTACGTCTATCCTATCTATTGGTTTATCCACTTCGTCTCTCCCACGGGTCTCCTCTCTCTCTTCCACTTCCCGGCGTCTCTCCCAGTGACCGCCGCCGCTGCAGCCTGCTCTAACACCGAACCTCCCCGCCTCTGCAGCCTCGGGGCTGTTGCTGCTCGGCAGCGGTCGCCGTACTCTAGTAAAAACTCGCTGCTCGTCTCCGGCGACTCAGATAGGACGGTGTTCCCGGTGCGGACGTCCGGCACGGACCGGCCCAGGTGGCGCCCCGGTCGGTGCGCCGGTCCCAGCTGCCAGCTCGGGTCGGCAGAGGACCGACCGGCCAGTGTCGGCCCGGACGGATGTCCTTCCCCTCCCTCCCTCCCTCGGTACTCGACTCACACCAGCCGGGCTTTGTCAGTGATTGTGTCATTGTTATAGGGGACACCGTTACAAGGGTGTCTAGAAAGCTTAAGTAGACGTGAAAAGATAACTAGGTGCAAAATTTAACTTTTGAACTTTCACCAAGAGCTTGTTTTAGAGTGCATCATAAGAAATTCTCTTCCAAATTTAAACATGCTGTGTCATCAGTTCCACCAACTATCAGTTCCGCAATTTATGGTTTAGCATTTCAGCAAAATCGAGAAAAAAATTGCTAGTCGACCTTGCCAGGTGAAGTCATTCGAAAGCTTTTGGAATATCTCTGAGGTTCATTTGTGCCCACCCATCTGCATCTAAATAAGAACGTTTTTGTTCCATTATCTCTCGAAGTTTCACTTGTTGGCAACAGTTGAGGGCAAAAGAAAATGTGAAGACAAACGCGGATAAGGACGGAAAGGGAGGGCAAAACCGCCTGTTTGCTGCTGGCTGGTGAATAATGAGCCAATAATTTGGAAAATGCGGACGGTACGTTCTGTGGTGAAATAATGGCACCATGCGCTAGTTAGACTACACAACTAAGTAACTTTTTCCTACAAAGAGGAGCATCGATATGATAGCACTCTACCACAAAGCAGCCCACGTAAGCAGAGATAGAGCGGAAAAATGCCATTTGACTTATTGATTCACAACACATGATGCTCGCGTGTCAACTATCGGGTCAGTGACTTAAAACACCCACGTTTTCATTACGACACTTGCTTCGTAGCTGCCAGAAACGGTTTATTATAGCTCCACGCGCCATTTTCGCATCACCCAGATTCATTCAGTCAATCTGTCTATCACCGCCAAGACACGTGACGGCGCACCTGAACAGGTGATCCGCACCGCGGGACAGGTTCTGGGCCACGCCGGGCGGTGAACTTCACTCGGGGGTCGCGGACCTGCTCCCCGCCCGCGGGGGCCGATGTCCCCATAGCGGCCGTCCGCCGGCGCCGTTGGCGCCACAAATAGCGCGCCAATTCATCACGGCCGGGGCACGTGTTGGAGGGGAGTAGATCCCACAGGAGGAGCCCACAGGAGCCGGCGGAGCCCGGCGGCGGTCACGGGCAGCCCGGACGGAGTCGGGCGCGTGGCTGGACGGCCCTCATCAGGGCGCAGTGGCGCAACACTGGGCCACACGTGCCGCCGCGAGCTGAGAGGCCATTGCGCTGGCATGTTGATAGATTTCAGCAATGGCGGTGACAAATGAAGCTGTGCACCTCTATAAACAAGCAAGGTTCGGTGTCTCGCTTGCGTTAGCTTTCAGAAAAACGAAGTAGCGACTGGCGACCGCTGTTCAGAAGTTAAAAGCGATAATCAAGGCCCTGAGCTAATAATTTTGTTTGGAAAATACTTCGCGATGTCTTACTTTGTCCCACTGTTTCTGCTGTGCGAATGCCGTAACAAGATGTGAATGTCTGCTTAAAGGGACCCTCCCACCTTCAAAAAAGTTAATGAAATGGCATGAAAGTGATGTCGCTCAGTTCCGAAAGAGCAAAAACGAATATCTACCAAATTTCATCGAAAAATATTCACCGGTTTTCAAGATATTAGACTTTTACTTTTGTTTACTTTTTTGGATCTCCGCTGTTCCCAGCGACTTTATTTGAAAGTGCGGCATTTGTTGCGCGCAAAGCAGCATATACCACCGCGTGCTACAAATCGTTTTAGTCAAACATTTAAAAATCGTTAGATATCTGCGCTGACGTCACACATTCAGAGGGGTATTCCTATGCATTAGCCCCTCTGAATCAAAATGCTGCAATTTTGAAATTCAATATTTCCGATTTAAGGCATTTCTCGATGTTGTGAGTGCCGAAACCGGTAATTGTGAGCCAGGGACCCCATTTTGGCTATCTCAACTCAAATCTAATGTTAAGGTGGGAGGGTCCCTTTAATCGACCGCTGACGTCTAAGAATTTCCCGTCTTTTACCACCTCGCATCTACCCAGGTGTTTGTATGTGCGTGTGTGTGTTTTCGAGAGCACATTTGCCACCCAGAGGTGCTGAGGGCTGCCAGGATCTCAGCTGACTGGAGGGGAAGGCGGACTGACGGCTGCTGACAGACAGTGAACAGAGACGGCAGGATCCAGGACAGCGGCCCTACCCAGTGGCGATGGGCGCGTGTGGGGTAGAAACGACAGAAATAGCGCGTCTCGCACCGGCAAGGGGTTTAGTTATGGTCGTTTTACCATCAGTAATTTTCTTTTAAGTTTAAGTGGGAGTGAATTGAGAAACCAATTTGTGGTTTGAGTAGATCAGATGCTCAAACCATTTGCATTTATTTGCAGTAAAGCCCAGATTAAAATAATTTTACTTACATGCATGTGCGAGAGAAAAAAAATACACATTCATCGAAGCACTTTTGATGGCAAGGAGACGTGTCGGAGCACACATTTCCATCCCGATCAGTCACCGCCAAGCGACACCACATACTCGGTCTCAGAGCTGACTGGTCTCATTCGATCGAGTCCCCCGGCTGGATGGAGTTGGTTCGGCTCAATTTACAGCTGACGGATGAGACGGATGTCCCCTCCCCCGCTCTGCTCAGGTAGCCTCATCCACCGTTCAGCCAGCCGACAGGGCGCGGAAAAGGTGCAGGCCGTGACAGACGCGCGGTGTCCGCGTGTGTGCGAGCGTGACAGCTGGTGACGGCCAGGTGACAGCCCAGATAGGGCCGTGTCACAGCAGCGCAGAGTGGGACAGGTCAGGATAGCTGTCAGCGGAGCCAGGCGCTGCTGCCAGATGAAGCGGCGGGTTTATACGAGGTCGGAAAGCGAAGTAAAACATGACGTTCCGATAAAGATGCAGCCTGTGTTCATGTCAGTTATTTGTTGGGACACATTAGATGGTATATGTATCAACATAATTTAACCAGATTTATCGTGAAAATATTATTTTTCTCTTCTTTCTCTCTCCCTTTCTCTCTCTCTCTCTCTCTCTCTCTCTCTCTCTCTCTCTCTCTCTCTCTCTCTCTCTCTCTCTCTCTCTCTCTCTCTCTCTCTCTCTCTCTCTCTCTCTCTCTCTCTCTCTCTCTCTCTCTCTCTCTCTCTCTCTCTCTCTCTCTCTCTCTCTCTCACTCTCTCTCTCTCTCTCTCTATCTCTCTCTCTCTCTCTCTCTCTCTCTCTCTCTCTCTCTCTCTCTCTCTCTCTCTCTCTCTTTCTCGCTCCCTCCCTCTTCACTGCACTGATCCCCACTCCCCACTAACGCAAAAACCGCAACTGGCCGATGACATACTTTCGGCGGGCACTCGGTGCCGCTGCCTGTTTTCTTTAAATCATCCCCTCGGCAGTGACAATTGATGGGCACACAAATTGTCCATGACATGTCGACAGGCACGGCCGGTTTCCCGGTCTGGGGGACATCCGATCCTCTCCCACCGGCCACCCCTCCCCGAATACGTGTCCCCTGCCGCAAATCCTGCCTCCCTAACCGCGCGGACACATGTGGAAACGATCAAACCCCTGCCCCGTTCGTGTCCGGCTGCTTCGAGACACCCTACCGCCGCATTTCTGTCGAGTCGTCCCTCGTCCCCTGACCACGAGGATACCACTTGAAACATGTTTCACCGGGGAGCGCTCACGGTGGCCAAACCGCTCCCCAGAACCATTTCGGAAAACCAGGGCGCGTTTAGTCGTGCTATCATACCGCCGTTATCGAAACCGACGGGACGGTCCGACCGCGGGCCGCTAGATGTCGCGATTTGTGAACGATGGTCGAGGCTCGACGTGTCGGTCCGAGCGTAGCATGCTATGCCCGGCGACTCAGCCGGACGCGGGCAGCGCGAGTCGCTCGACAAAAACCAGGCAGTGACGCCTGCGAGACGCTGCGGCGGCGCGACGGGACGAAGGACAGGCCAGCTGAGGTCACGCAAATGATGATCTCATCAGTCGCCGCCAGCCGGTGGCTGTGTCCGCGGAGGGCGGAGTCGGTGGACCGGGACATCGCGGTCGGAATTCGCTGCAGATCTGCCGTAAACAGCCGCTGCAGGCTCCCGCACGGACACGTCTGAGACGGCCGCTTATTAGTAGACAGTAGACAGACGTGAAGAGAAGCCATCCGTGGAAGGGCACAATCTAAGACAAACAGGATTCACTGTAAGGATTTAAGAAGGGGATTCACTCAGAAAGTCGTGTTGATGGATACGGGACAGGACTACGAGACTGACTACTGGACTACAAGAACGCCGGTCACTCAGCTTGATGAAATGGGTTATGTTTAGGCCCAAATGGTCATCCGAGCGGTTAGGAAAGAGGTCATTAAGCTGGTTCACCGTTTTGACATTTTGGGGACGTCGAACTGGCCCGGATTCTACACAACGCACGGGTTAAGTTGGCCGCGGACTATCGTATGTATGTCAGAGTAGCGGTAAAGGGGTGACGAGTACTTACCGGCTCGGCAACACCGGTCGAGCAGAGCAGAGCGAGCAGCGCGGACACTCTGCGAAAAAGGAGAACAATCAGAAACGAAACGCCAGAGCGAGACGCGCTGCATTCCGAAAGCAAATTTGCTTTACGATAAAACCAAACTGAAGGTTAAAAGAAAGTTATCTGGCCAGATCAATTGAAAGATAAAGCAATGTAACAATTTCCGGCTCAGCACAAACATCTGCAGTTCATGACGCTTATTACGACACATTTTAGTTACCGTTTTACAGCATACGTGCACACTGCAAAGTATATGGCGTATATGTCTTTTCATGATAGAGGGCTCTTGCATTTTTTATGTGTCGGCTCGGCCCCGATTAAACAAGCCGGCCGGGTCTGGAAATTCCAGCACATTATAAACAGTTCGGCGTGCGGAGGACAGTTTGGCTGTTGGCGCCGGGACTTCGGAGGACCAGACTACTGGCACTGACCATTCATGGACTACTCCAGTCTAGTCACAGTCTACTGATACCGGGTGACAATTTATATTGGTAGATAATGATTCACAGCTCATTTTACTGCTCTGCTCAAAAAGGCCGATCAATTGTTCTTTTATCTTTTGTGTTGGGTTGGCATATTATCCAAGAGATATCGAACGCATATAAACAGTTTCAGACCTAAAGACGGTTTAAACACCGGGATGCTCCAGGCATGTTTTTTGTGGAGGAAGCAAATTATCGCGATAGTTCCAGAACAAGACTGTTGTGCAGAGTGGGGTGACACACTGACATATAATACCTTTGTGGCTTTTAGGTCAAGGTCTATACTTATAGGGTCACATCTTTTTTGTGCTTTATTTCGAGCCCCAGTACCAAGATCCGCTGACACTTGGAGACGAAGCATTTATGGTTGTCTCAAGAGTGAACTATCTCAGTCAAATACCGTTGCACATGCCATGTCGTCATTTCTGAGAAGACATCAATTGGAGCGACCCACGCCGGAAACGGAGCTCACTTCGTTAATATACATAGGTGGGCAACCATAGAGAAATATAAATGGAAAAGAAATGCAAACTTTCTAGAAATAATCTACTCCTGCAAAGGACATTTTATATAAAGAAGGTCGTGATAAACGTTTCGATGAATGGTAGAAGGTTGAAAATTGTAAGCTTGCAGATATATTATATTCAAACCATCGAGTCATTCAATGACTACGACATCAAGTTCCCAAATGTTGCGTGGAATTGACGCTTATGATGAATTTTGGTTATATATGACATGGTTCAGCCGACTCCCCGACCGCTTTCTGCAGGTTTTATCCACCTAGCAGACAAAACCATTTACAGGTCTCTAGCTTCGAGCAATAGATACTTCAGGCTAAACTAAAATGAAGCTGCGTCTTTTTGTTGACTTATGACAGCTAAAAGGAAGTGACAAAAAAGTTTGTTTTAAAAAATGCTGAGTAGGTCAGTGATTAGATGTATAGTTGTTTCGGTTACTATAAAACTAAATTACAAACATCAGAAAACTAGCTGTTTTTTAGCAACTGAAAAACACAATAAATAAAATTATATATCGTACTTTGCCTTCAAAGGCGTTACATTCGATAGGATTCTTATCAAGACCTTATATCACAACAAACAGCATTGCAATCTCATTGCCGCACCATGACCTCTGATAACAAGGCCTGACCTTGATCTGAAATTATTACGGCGTCTCTACAAAAATGTAAGGATATTCATCCACTCAAATCTATTCACGGTCTGAGACTTATAATTGCTGGCATGCACGATCGATGGCAACACAAGTCAAATTCCTAAAACCAATACCAATTTGGTTCCTAAAACCAATTTGGTTTTAGGAATTAGACTTGTGTTGCCATCGATCGTGAATAAAACTAAATCATGTCTGATTATTTACATACTGGCATGCACCATTCTCGCTCAGTTATTTGGTTTCAATCTTTGGCTTTGACCAACATGGGAGCCGTATTAGATGCATTTCAAGCGAGGCATAAGTGAGCTATAACTAGACGAAACTACCACTTCCCTCAAAACTACGGTTTCGTCTTGGAAAATCGGCGCTTGAAGTCTTATGAAAACACACAACTACCCGGAAAATGGCCAGATGGTAAGCGAGGGGACTGAACTCTAACAAAAGCAAACACATCCGACGAGAATATGGGAGACGGATAGAAGGAACGCGGGAAAAGGGAGGAATGTGGTGATGGAAAACGGAGCAACGCGGCGCCGGACATGAACTTTGGCACTCTGCATTAGGTACTGTTCAGGTTAACAGAGCGCTGAATCTGGAGCATGGCCAGTAATTGCACGGTTAGTCATGAGCTGGAACTGAAACTGTGCTGCTTGAGATCACCGTTGTTCTTCATAAATGTATTTTAGATAGAGGATTTTGTCGTAGTACCTATTGGTATCACGTATTATTTGATAGCTACTTATAATTACTATTTATGTTTATAGTCTGCGACAGATCTAAATTCATGACGCTCTCGTTGCGTGCATGTTGCATTTTTAGGTAACACCACTCTTCATGATGATAATGATTGATCAATTGATCATCGTCGAACATAACAGCAGTTAACGTTGCGACGTGATGGCAGGCTGAAGCAAGCACATCTATTAAAAATAATGTCGCTCAGAAACCATCACGTTTGAACAGAAAAACGACAAAAAATGGGCATAATAACATCAACCATCATGGTGTGCCTCAAATACCATGAGCCCGTCTCATGCATCATGACCCGCTGTGGCCAGCACCCCTCCCCACCTGACCCTTTAGGTATCGCCCATCCCCCCGGACTGGCGCCGAGACTCACCCCAGCACTGCGGAGCGCAGTCGGACGACCGCCATGGCGTGCGGTCTGCTCTGGGCTGTCCGCTCCTCACTAGCACATGCCGCGGAAGCCGAGTCGGGCCGGGCCGAACTGTAGTGCGAGCGACACCGCCCTACACCCGCCGCCGGCGCGCACGCCCCAGTTCTGGTCGCCGCACGGCGCCGCGCCGCCACCGACGCGCCGGCACGCCCACATGAAAATAGTGCACCACAAAAACGGGAATACGTGCTAAATTTAGTCGCACATTCTGCCAAAGACATGAGGTTTTGCTGTAGAGGCTAATTCTCACCACATTGGTGCAGTTTGCTGAGGTGATGGTGAAAATTATGCGCGCAAGCCCCGCCCCCTGACGCCCGCTGGTGGCGGTGCGCGGGTGCGGGGCAGCGCGTCGGCCGTGCTCCAGTCGGGGGTCGGAGCGTCGGGAGGAGCGCGCGCCCACAGCCGCTCGGCCGGCCCGGAATGCTCCGTCTCTGAGCAGTCCGCCGCAGCGATCACCATGGCTGAACCGAGGAGGGCGGCCAGCCGCTGCCTGCTGCCCGCCGCGCTGGTTCTGTTCGCGCTCCTGACATCCTCCGACGCGGCGGTAAGTGATAACAGCACGCGGGTTCCTTTTACGCAAAGAACTTGTGTCCCTTGCCTGTTTATGTCAATGGTACTAATTGCGTAGACGGTGTGGAAGCCTTCGACCATTAACTCCTTCAAATGGCGCGCTCACTTGATGCTGCGCTCTCTCTCTTGAAATATCTTTGTGTTTGATTCATAAACGATCCGTTGCAATTACCATCTTTACCTAAGATGATTAATTGCCGTTCAATTTATTCCTCAATATAATTTATTAATCTTAATTTTGCCTTTCCCTTCATTTGTTTCATTTTTTCTTCGCGAATGTCGACCATGTTTCGCGAGCGCTGGGACCTCTCGCTCGGGCGGCGCTCGCGGTTTCTCGCACCCTGCTCGGAGCCGAAGTACCGCCGCTCGCAGGGCGCTGAGGCGGTGACGGGGGCGCCACCGTCGCTCCGAAGCCGACCCCGAACAGCTGGGCACCCCACACCACTGCCATCTGTCGGTGCGACTGTGAAACTGACCCCCGGGTGGAGCGATATGCCGGCGACCGAACTCCGCGGCGGACTCTGCTGTGACGGAGGTCCTGGAATGAGATCACAGGCTCTTGGGGCATGTTTTCATTAATCACCAGTGTTGTGGGTCGGATGAAGATGATCCCGCCCACGCTGTACCACACGAGGCCGCTGACGCGATCGCAATGAGCTCACCGCACTCTTATTCAGTTGTTCGACAAATTGGTTTAACTTGGAAAAATGTCCTCCAAAGTGCATGAGTCGCCTGACGCCGTGTACTGGTACGCGATATCATTATCAGGCGACAAAACATTTGTCAGCCAAGCGACGGACGTGTTTTCCGCCGTCCGATATCGGCCGTCCCGGCAGCCGCCGTCGTATTGCCTGGGAGGGTAGACTGTGCCGCGCGACACGAGAGCGCTGCGGCACAGCATCGCCGCAAACAATGGGCTCGAACGAGCGCTGCGTATCAAATTGCCCATGCGACAAAAACACCGTACTGGCAATAGGAGAACTATCACATGCAGTAGCTTTTGGACTTTCGCAACAGCTTTCCAGTTTTTTTTTTAGGTTGTGGAGGATAAAATGAGCGGTTAGCTGGATCAAAATTATCTCTCTCCTGAGTCTCCATATACATCCAAGATTCGCCACGGGAACATAAGTGCGCTGTAAATATGGACGGGAGAAGAAATGCCCGCAAAAAAATGTCCTACCCAAGACATAGTCCAGATGCCGGCGAGTGGTGCAGCGGACCTACCTATTTATCCAGACTAAATAGCTAAAAATGAGGTCACCCTCGGCTTTGCGGCACGGAGCGCTCCTGTGTCGGTCGGTCTCATTCATCGCAATGTCACCAAGGCAGTTTGTCATCGTCTCAAGGACATCTGCTTGCACGCAAACAATTTGTTCGCTCCACTTGCAGCTAAGTGGCGCTGCAATAGCAGCCATCTTCAGGCAGGCATCTCAGCAAGAGACTTTTGCAACGTCAGCATGCTAGGCCTATCAGAGTTGAGAGCGAGGAGCGAGAAAATGATCACTGCGATCATGTATGTAGGTACTTCAGTGCACGTTTTCTGAAATATGGAGCGCACCGAGCTACGAGATGAAAGCTTTCTCATACCAAACAAAATGAATACGGAAATCAACACCCAGTTTTCTACCTATTTTTTTCCCACGAGTTGCGACAAACTAATGCATCAAAAACTCGGTGATAACCGTCATCTCATGGCATCACCGCCGACATTTGGCGGCCTCGCCGAGAGGCGTTCCGTCCTGACTCCGGGAATGTTCCGCGGCCGTTTGCCGCGCTGTGTCGGAGCGGCGGCGCGGCGCAGCGCAGTGCGGGCAGCTCTGTGTTTACACAGACGACGCCCAGGGCTGGCGGCGACCAGGACCGGCGGCTCAGCTCAGAGGACACGCCGGACGCGGCTATCTGGGCCTGCACGTGCGTCATGGCCGCCTCGTCAGGGCGTCACGGCGGGCGCCACAGCGGGGCGTCACATCGGGGCGTCACGACGTGGCGTCACATAACGGCCAGACGGCACGGGAGGGTGGCGCACCAGCAGCGTGACAGAAGACGCAATATTGATTTATTTGCTTTGCCAATCTTCTAAATGTATTGTTAGATATCTCGATGTAAAGGGAATAAACGGATTACGGATGAATTGTTCTTTTATGTTCTGGTCAATCAATTTCATTTAAAGTTATGCGCTAGGGTAAAGCACCCTTGAATTATCCGTGAACTTGCAGTATCTGACCAAAATTATATGACAAACTTACCCAAATTACTGATCTAATCTAACAACATCTCCTCCTCCTTCCGTTTCAGGCGTGCAAGGGCTGCGTGGTGCAAAACTGTATCTGCGAGGGGGAGAAGGGCTATGTGGGCAATCCTGGCATCCCTGGCCTGCAGGGCTCGCAGGGCTTTCCGGGCGACATAGGCGTGGAGGGCCCTCCCGGCCCGGCCGGGATGAAGGGCTCGCGGGGCGACGAGGGAGCCCAGGGCACCAAGGGCGACAGAGGCAAGCCGGGAGTGGTCGGCTTCCCCGGAGCGCCTGGCATCCTGGTGAGTAGACGAGCCGGTCGGGATCAATGATTTTATGTTTAATTAGCTTATAAAAAGGCGTAATATGGGGTGCATGTGCGACGTAGTAATGAAATTTTAGTTATTCATGTAATCAATATTCATTGCAGTCCGTCGTCATACAGTTGGACAATGGACAGCCTAGCAATTTATATCGATTATTATCATATCTCAATTGCATTTCGCATAATTACTTTCCTACAGTCAACAATTCCCGAGGTCCGTGTCGTCACCGTGCAGTTCTGCGCGCTGCGTTTCCCAGGGTCTTCCCGGAGACGTCGGCAGCCGCGGAGCCCTCGGGTTCCCGGGCTGTAACGGCACGGACGGCCAGCCGGGCCTGCCGGGTCTGCCCGGGCTGAGCGGACCCCGCGGTCAGCCAGGTCAGTCACGTGACCAACGGTCAGACCAGTTAGAGCACTGGGCTGGCGGTGATGCAGATCGGCCAGGACGACAGAATTGAGAAAGAAACCCTGAGGAATGCATATGTCTTTGCTGGATATTTATCTCCACTCACAATGCCTGGATTCCTTTTATACTTCTGCTCACAAGTTTTTTTTTAGACAATTATAAGTGTCATTTCCTGTGTTAAAAAGGCGTTGCAATATTAAAATCGCAATTATAGTATTGCAGTACGTGAGAACCATCGACACTGCTCTTCCCTCTGCTGCACTCCCTGCGGTCTCATGTTGATCTGTCGCGCTGACGCCGCTCCTCCCGACAGGTCCGGACGGTCTGCCGGGTCCCAGAGGTGACCCGGGAGACGGTGGGGTGAACTCGGTGGGGGTGAAGGGAGACGCCGGGTCCACCGGTCGGCCCGGAATCGACGTGAGTACACCGCCGGCTGTCGGGGTGGGCCGGGCAGTATACTTAGTGGTACACTTCGGCAGCCCACCACTCCGCAGAGCAGACCGGACAGTAGACCTGCGGCGAATGTTGCACTCTCAAAACATGTCACGTCTTCAAAGAAACTACTTACTTGCCCATATGATACTTTAAAAGGACTAGACTATTATCATTCGATTATGTGTGATCAAACGTTCACCCGGAATTGAATGTAGCTGGTTGTCATGGCGACTAGAACTCGGAGCGAACGTGAGTTTCTGAGAACATGAGCTCCTCCTGTCTGCCTACAGGGTCTGCCTGGTCTGCCGGGACCGAAGGGATACTTCGGATACCCCGGCGATCAGGGGGAGAGGGTAAGTGCACAGCTACATACCTACCTTGGTGTGATCTTGCAACAATCGGCAAGATCAATATAATCATCCCTTTTTGTTGCTCGTTATTATTTGGTTAATCAGCATGCTGCGGCGTAAACTCTTCTGATTTCATATATGTAGGCGCATAAACCTCTGTACAGAAGTCTATGGTAGGCGTGGTAACGAACAGAGAAGTTACATGATGTCCATTATCTTCTAATCCTGCTTCTCTTAAGTTATCCCTACATTTTTTGCTTATCACGCTCATAGTTTTTTCTTTAGATATTTGATGTATTTACAGACATCTAAATACTTGGTTGTATGTTTTGATTTTGACAAAAAAGATTATCTTCTGCCTATGTCTCCCGAAACCACTTATCATTTTATCTTTCTGACACGACGGTTGTCTGTAATTCCTCCTATTTCTGACACGAGTGCTGCCTGTTCCCCAGGGCTTCCCGGGCCCGCTGGGCCTCCCCGGCCCTAAGGGTGAGAGAGGTAATGAGAAGCGGGGTCCTCCAGGCCCCAAGGGTCAGCAAGGAGAGCCCGGACCCCCGGGACCCGGTTACAATGACAACACATTGGTCTCGCCGGAAGAGGCGTTCGCTGGGTGAGACAAAAAGCAGCATGTCGCAACCAGGACCATGTGCTTGACTTCCTTTTTGTCTTGTGATGTGCTTATCTCATTTGGGGGTCACCTCAAGAATGTAAAACTACTTGCCGCGCTCAGCTGATTTCAAAAAGCACTAAGCGCTAGCATGAATGAATGCTAGGCAGCCCAC